GAAAAAAACTTATTTCCTATACATTAGAGAATATTTATTTTCAGACCATTATTAGCATAACATTTAAACTGATTTTCATTTTCATTATCCAGTTTTCGCTTTTCAAACAAAATCAGATCATAAGTACAGTATTTTTCATACATTATATGTTATAATACCAGAGCTATACATTTATTTTTATTTCAATTTTAAAAGATTTTTCAAAAGAAATACTAATAAATAGTTTGCGTCTCAAAGAGATTGTAATTAGGATTTAATAGCAATGAGTACATTAATACAGTAGAGTACATCAAAATTGTCTTATTATTATTGAATACGATTATTATACAGTATTTTGTTTGAATAAATAAAACATCAAAAGGAGTCCAACAGTGATTTCTTTGGTTATCTATACAGAAAACATATATTTAATGCATTCAAATAACAATAAAGAGAAATATCTCTAATAATGTATCATTTTTTTGACTTCTTTTTGGCAAAACTTCCTACAGATCTGTGGCTATAAAGTGAGTTGAATAACAAGTTTTCATATGTGAGGCACAGATATCTAGCCTTAGGTTTATGTAAGTTTCAAATAAGTCTCTCTCTCTCTCTCTCTCTCTCTCTCGGCTCTCTTCTCAATCTAATCTACTTCTCGATTGGAGAGAGAGAGAGAGAGAGCACCGTTGGCTCCCTTTCACTATTACTATGCAATACGTCTGCAGACTTTCACCAGAAAAAGATAATACGCTTTCGGCTATATTTTGACCTCAATTTTCTCCTATCAATCGGAGAGAAAACTTTGATTTTTTGATTTAAAAATTATTAGCTTTTATAGCATTGGATGTGATTTTTCTTGTATTTCCATTTGTTTCTGAGCCGTAATTCTCTTCTTTTGCTCCATTTTTACAGACATTTGTATACATAATAAGAGAAATGAAATGTTTATCATTACGTGTGTGTTGTCTGAAACAAAAAGCAGAAATAAATTAGTTTTGATTGTGTGTTAAGTTTGCAAAATCTGATGACTTTGACGACCGGCTGTTGACGAGTAGACAACGATTTTTAGGAGGAATACACGACTCGCGCATAAAATTGTAGAAAAAGTTTCTAAATTTAATTCCTTATTAAAGTCTTAAGTCATATAAAATCAAGTCTAATGAGAAACAACAAATTTTTATGTTGACTTTTCCACTCGACATAGAAAGTCGTTTAAAACAAATATAAAAATCGTTTACATTTGCAGTTATAGTTTCGGAAAAAATCAGGTTTTTACGGCTTTTATCACAAAAAAGAGATTTTTATTTATTTTAATTTTTTTATTCCTCTTTTGAACTTTACTTTTGCCTTAACTTTCGAGAGATAAACACAAATAACTGAAGAATTTTTAATTAATTATATTTTAATTACATTTTAAAGTTTTTTTCTGTAAAGTGAAAACAAAATTGGTTTTAAATTAAAAGCTCTCTCTCTCTCTCTCTCTCTCTCTCTCGCATTCAGTCAATACAATTAAATAACAAAATTAGTTCATCTCATGTATACAAAAGACATTTCGTATTTAATCGGTTCGGCATTAATAATGAAAATTTAAAAAAATCAGTCAACGAGTGAATGGCATAAAACTTTTGATACGAAAAAATATTTCAATCTGAATATTAACTCCAATGACATCGGAATCCAAATCAATGTTAAATCAAAAGCTAATCAACAGAAATGATCATTTTATGATAAATACAAATACACGGTTTGAATGCAAAATTGCTTTTATGCCAAACAATGCTAAATACTTCAACGAGAAATCAATGCACAAATATATTGATGTTTTTTGCTTAGCATTTCTCCGCTGACATGATTTGATGGGGTTTTGTGTTTATAAACCTCTAGTTTATAATTATCCCAACAAATGGATTGAATCCAAATTGATTGCACTTTTGTTGAATGAATTTTATGAATGAATGGTTGGACACAAAAAAGAAACCGTTTTTTGTCTGAAGAAAATCATTTACTTTTGAAGAGTGAAAGTGAGACTAGAGTTAGGAGTCATTGAAAATTGAGACTACGATTGGGTTCATATGTATTGGACATAAAGTTTGTGTAAAACAATAATAAAAAAGAGTTTGTGGTAATTAAAATGTATTTAATTTACATAGAGTTTAAGTTTATATAAGTAAATGAGTTCATGTATTACTTCAATAGCACTTTATTAGCACTTATTCTCAAAACTGATTGTCTTTTTAAGCAAAATAACTTTTGGTTAGCCCATAAGTCTCTCTCTCTCTCTCTCTCTCTCTCTCTCTCGAAGAGTTTAAGAGAGTCTTAATTTATTAAAAAATAAAATTATGTTTAAGTAAATAAATTAAATAATAAACAAAATTATATACAAATAATACAAAATCAACTATAAAGTGAAAACAAATACTTCACAAAAGTATCCAAAAAAAATCGCTGAAGTTTTGTCACAATTATTATATTCACTGAATGTATAGAGTTTGTGGTGTACTCTATGGCAAAGCTATGCAAACAGTGTTTGTGTTTATGTTTTGATTATGAAATCCAATTGAAAAGTGAATTCAAAAAATAATAATTAGTTTTGTTTTGTTACAAACATTTAATTAAATAAAACAACAATTTATTTCAATTTTTAGTTTTTAATTGCTTTTTAAGTTTACATTTAGTTTTTGCGTTAATTTTTATTGTTTTTTACACCAAATAGTTGTTTAATTAATACTTATTTTGCAGTGATTTTTGAAACCATTTATTGGTTTTGTATTCAAAAAAGTTTTTGATTTTGTTTTGAGTTTTAATGAAAAATATTATTTAATATTAGAAATGATTTCCAGTTTTTCGGTGTCTTTTGAATCCGTGTCGTGAAGTCGTGTCTTTGGGAAGCGATTGGATGGCCGATGAGTGCCGAAGACAGGGCTACCGGCGCTGAGCACGTGATCGGCACCCATACGGCACCCGATTGTCAGTCATTGATCGCGTCCATAGTGTGTCCCAAGAGGTCGATGCCATCCAACGCCAGACTCCGCTGGAAGATACTGTCGACCGCTCTGCAGCCCAAGACATCACCACCGGATCCGCAGGCGTCGACACCACCGGTCGGCTCCTGTCGACGGTTCGAGTCGTTTGGGTTGATTGAGTTGCGAACCAAATGCGGTGATAATGAAGACAATTGTCAGCAGATCTCAAAGGAGGACCATTCGATGTCCACAGACTCTCACCCGAAGAGATCACTACTCGATGGCAAGTGGTATGAGTGCAGGCTTTGGGATAATCGCCGGCAATCGTTTGACAGGACAGTCGTCGACATCAAGATCTTAACGGAGAGGATAGCGATCCACGAGTTGACGGATCCCAAGACCGACAACACGGGAAACGTGTGTTTGTGGCCGTCGGAGGAAGTGCTCTCATACTATGTCCACGAAAACAGATCTCTATTTACGGGTAAACTAGTGGTGGAGTTGGGCGGAGGGATGACCTGTTTGTCCGGTTTGGCGACCGCTATCTTCACGGACGCCAAGCAAGTGGTGGTCACGGATGGCAACCAGAGGTGTGTCTCAAACGTCCAGACAATTATCGATGGGAACAGACATCGATTGCGAGCTGCGATTAAGTGTCGACGACTGGTTTGGGGCGAAGACTCCCATTTCAATGATCTCAGCGGCGGTGTCGACGTTATTGTCTGCTCTGATTGTCTGTATTTCGACGATAGCCGTCACCTATTGGTGCATACAATCCGTAAACTACTTAATAGCACCGGCATTGCCATTATTTTAGCCCCGAAAAGGGGTCAAACATTTGAAAGGTTTGTGCGTTTGGCCGATGAGTGGTTTGATTTGCAGATAATCGAAGATTACGACCAATTGGTCACTGATTTGCATCAGAAGTTTGTCTCAAAGGAGACTGAATCCCACTATACGCCAGACCTTCACTACCCGGTTATGATTCGCATGACTAACAGATCTAGTGTTTGAAAAGTAATTATGTGTTCATTTCAGGTTTTTATAGTCGTTTTAAATCTATTATAATGTGTTTATTAGTCTTTTACTCATTAAATGTAATTTTTAAATGTAATCTAATTATTAGTCATTTATTTTAAAATGGAAAATAAATAATAGAGTTATAAATCATTTTTAATTTGTCGTAATTTAGATGAATTCCTTAATTAGTATTAATTTTCTATTATAATTGAATGTCTATTTTGATTTTTTTTTGTTTTTCAAGGAAAGTATTGACACAATTTTCCACTTAATTCCCGTCTAATTATAACTACATTTAAATAACAATTTAATGTATGAATTTTTATATTATAATTAGTTGTTTAGTATGTATATCAATAGTATAACTTTTTATAGCACTTAACTCGTGCTTTTTTACAGTAGTTTATGTCCATTATATCAAACTTATTATGACTACCGTAAAAGTCATGCCGTAATTTAGTTATCAATTGATATAAATTATATTATAAATTTATAATTAATGAACCCGGATACCGGATATAATGAACCATAAATATTAATTCATTTATTATATTGTTTAAGACATTTTTGTACTTAATTAAGTTGTATAATGTTATACAATCTGTTATACAATGTACTACAGATTGATAATAGTTCATATAAGGTTATAAATCTTAGTCTAGTATTTCATAATGTTAGCTTTTAAAAGTGTATGAATGTAACCTGGTCATGGAAGGGATTGAAAATATTTACATATATTTTAGCAAAATTATGGATAAAATGCCAAAAATATATTGAAGACTAAATTGAGTCTCGAAATACATTATGAGTTCAGTTTTGACGACAAGATATACAAATGTGGACTCAAATTGAATATCGTTTGCAATATTGAATAGCACTCTACATATTTGGCTATTTTGCATAATAAAGTAGTTTATAGAAAAATATTTGCGAATGTGTTTTGATTTATTTATTTAGATTTCTGTGATCTCTCAAATTGAATATCGTTTGCAATATTGAATAGCACTCTACATATTTGGCTATTTTGCATAATAAAGTAGTTTATAGAAAAATATTTGCGAATGTGTTTTGATTTATTTATTTAGATTTCTGTGATCAACACATCTCTCCATTGCGCTAACGATGCGATCGATAGTAAAAATTGCTTTTAAAACACATTCCGATGTCTGGAGAAAGAGAGAGAGAGAGAGAGAGAGAAAGAGAGAGAAATGACATCAAAATGAATGTATAATATATTTTTCGTTCACAAAACTCGAGTTAATTTCAAACAGAAAATGATAGACAAATGTCTTGAATGTGTTTAAAACTATTCTGATTTAATGGCGTAGAGTTTTGATGGCAAATGTTTGATACAAAAGTGCAATAAGTTTTATAGCGAGATGTGTTTTTATGTATATTATGTAAGACTTGTTAACATCGACTGCCAATAATTGGTTGCCATAAAAGTTATACTGAAATACGGCGAAAGTATCGTAAAATGTAAAATGCATTCAATAGTATAGTATAGTTTTCTCAATTATAGTCTTGTTTTTTGGACATCCCTTGAGTACACTTTTTTGAGCCTTTAGTACATGGAGTACAGAGTTTTTTGTTTTAAATTTTTCTCTGTCTAAACGACTAGTAATTTATTCATAGCATCGGAATAAAACTAAACTCAAGAAATACATGTCATATATTCATAGCATAACGCATTATAAATGCTAAACATTTAAAGTATATTTGAGGAAAAGTTTTCAGTATTTTTTGCATATAAATAATAAATTTAAATTTATATTTATATTGCAAATAATATACTATTCAATGGTCATATTATTATATTTTATTATATGATTTTAAAATACAATGTATAGTAAGCTATACAATATGTACTGATATTTATAAACTAGTAACTAATTACTTTTGTATTAAAATAATTTACTAAATATTAATATAAGTTTGCATAATTAATATTTCAAAATTGTTTTAAGAAATAAGTATATCTATTACATCAAAATGCTAAACAAGTTTGTGTAGTAAACTCTCATCTTAATAGTGATAATAAATTGTAGTTAATCTCTATGAGAAAGTAATTGCATAAAAAGTTTATACAACTCATTAAAGTTGTATTACAAATTATTACATCCAGTTTAGTAAACCTAAGGAATATTTAATAAATATATTTATTTCGCTTGGGTATTTGAGAGCTGGATAGGCACTCAAACGGCTGATTTGCACTAATTGTCATTAAAAAAACATGAGTTTCATAAATTTGTTTGGTTACTAAAGTCTGTTATTAATTTATCACAAAAGCATTATACGAGCGGAAAATTTTTGCGAAATAATACACTATTAATAATTGTTTCGCAAAATTCAACATCAATTACAGTGTATTGAAGGTAAACACAATGGGATGAGACGTTCAACACTTTAATAGTCATAAGGTTTTTGAGTAATTTCTCTATGAATATGCAATACTATGGAATTATTAAAAGTGTATTTTGGCTCTCTATCCAATTATTTAATAGTTGTTTCGTTGAAATTTAAATTAATGTTTAAAAATAAAGATTTCATTATTATTTGCAAACAATATGTTGTACGACAAGACATGAAAAACCAAGATTTTATTTTATGTGTTAAACTTATCCCAATTATGTGTCTTATTGTGATTATTATAATATTGAATGTGAGATAAAAATGCACACATAAAACACTTATAATAATTAAGCCTTGATTTTATAGTATCGTAGAAATTGTTATTTTGCAATTACTGTATGTAGTATAATTTATTTTATAAAACAAGTCATTATATATTCAAGTATTTATTTTGATCTTATAATCCCTGATCAATTCAATTTGTAATAATTACGATACAAAACGCATAAATAAATGCTAAATTTTAAAACAATTAAATCAATTTGTATTGAAACTGAAATACAATGACATTTTCGCGATGTCAGAAATTTTTGTATAATTCTTTAATACAACAAAAAAGCTAACATTTTTAATGACATAAATTACTAGTTATAAAGGAGATAAACAGTTAGCTAACCTAAATTTTGACATAAATTATAAGTGTATTAACAATTATTACATAATTTATAAATATGCTTTTAACTTATAATTAACTGTTTTTCTGTATTGATTTGTGTTTTATATACAGATTATTGGCCTGAAATCGATGTTTACCTTAAAATTCAAATATTATGGAAATATTAGTGAACTAATGGATGTCATCGTAAGGCTTGATTTTTGAAATTTATGTCGTTTTTAAAATTATTATTCATTTAAATCTAATTTATGAATAATTTATATAAAAATAAAAATCCATTAATCATTGGCTGTTTGTTTTTATATAACCGATAATAAATTATACAATATTTTTAAAAACTTATTTTTAAAATAAATTTAGAGATCCTTTAATCGCCAAATTTGAATTATTTATTAGATCTACTAATATTAAAAACAATTATTGAGATTTAAGAATCCTAAGCGATATAGATATACAATAGATTTCATCACCAGTCCCGAAAGTATATGGTCCCCTTATGGTATGATATGATATAATGGATGTGTTGTCTCCACACTTGAGAATTCGAGTTAATGTTTGGCCAAAACCGACAAAACTTTTCATCTCAAGCCCTAAGGCTTATAATTTTTTGTTATACCAGGGCTTATGGTATGATATGATATAATGGATGTGTTGTCTCCACACTTGAGAATTCGAGTTAATGTTTGGCCAAAACCGACAAAACTTTTCATCTCAAGCCCTAAGGCTTATAATTTTTTGGTAAGTGTGTGACAGACAGGACGGGCTGTAGTTTATATTCGGCACACACTTACAGACCGTGAATTATATGGATAATCAATACCACACCACATATACTGTAAGACACATGTCTCGCACTCGAGAGTATTAATAGAGAAAAACACCATTTAATCAAACATTTAGTAAAGAAGTCCATAAAATTGGGTTATGAATCGCATATTGGAAATAAATTCTGGCTATATATAGACATCTAGTATATATGCCAATCTTGACTCTATCAGCATTGGCTTTAATTCAATGTTCTCTGGCATCGGATTTTCTGATCACTTTCTATAGCTTCAGGAGTTAATGAAGAATAGACGAGTCAATAGAGCAGTCAATTGATCAAAATAAATGAGCAATTGATTCATTAAGGAAGCGAACAGGAAGTCATTGCCCTCTCTCTCTCTCCCTCCCTCTCCTATTAAATATAGTATCAGTTGTCCACTTATGTGTCAATAAAAGTGGACCCAATGACTGACATTAATTAGTCTTAAATTAAACTAAATTACCAATACTTTACTACACTATGTATCCGGTGTATCAGACATTGAGGCTAAACATATGAGAAGAGTCACTGTAATAAGAGTCACCGAAACTAATGTTGAAAATATGGACTCAAAATAAGTGTCCATTTGGTTTGGAAATAAATTTGGCTTTTTATTTCATATCGCGGATTATTCTGTAACTAATAAATTAAATGAATTGAATATAATTGATGCCAACAGTTAGTGCATGTGAGAGACTCCCCATAATATAACAGTTATAGATATTTTGTAGTGAAAAATATGATTTATTGTTTTGTGTAGAGATGTATAGATTACGGTCTAAACATAGACATCGAGTGAGACATAGCGTTGGGAGACATAGACTGACGAGAGTTGTTGCCCATAAAAATACAGTACAATAGGACTCTCGTCTCTCTTCTGTATTTAATTCTTTGTATATTTACTACTCTTTTTTGTGTTACTTTCCGAGCCGACATTATTAAGTGAGCGTTATTTTATCTGCGGTTTGTTGCTGACTCTTTGAGTTATGAGGGCCAAATGGGGCGGCCATACCATACAACCGGTCGGGCGCTGGCAAACACACCATACACTCCGACAGCTCTGTAATAGCCATTGAGTGTTAATCTCTGCAAATATAAAAACACATAACTCTTTGTTCTAATCGTTTGGATTGAGAGCTCGTAGAGGACTATGAAAAAAAG